AGACCCCTTTAGCACCTCCCATAGCTCGTCCCATACCATCACCCATCCATCCCTGGGCTGTGCGAGGGGCCGCAGCACCGGCTGGGTCGTCCTCGACACGGCTCGCGTCCCCACCCCGGCAGCTTTTTGGAGCCCTGGTCCACGGATGCCACACCAGCCTCATCCATCTGGATCTCTCCAAAAACGTGTACTCCCACAAGTAAGCCCCCGGCACGGCGGGGAGGGGAGCGCAGTACCCAGGCGGGTGGCCGGTGCCGGGTGGCGGATGATGCCACGTTGTGCCCATCCTTTTCAGGAGGGTGAAAACCATCTCCCCTGACATCAAGGAGTTTTTCAGCCAGGCCTGTGCCCTCAGGCACGTCTCCCTGGCAGGTACCAAGCTGCCAGCGGATGCTGTAAGGTGAGGTGGGGCTGCGAGTCCACCGAGGGGGCTGGATTTGGGGTGAGCATGGTCTGGGGAGGGGGGGGGAAACCTCGCTCAGGGCTTTGCGTGTTGAGAGGGCTGGCGGGGAGGATGGATGGGGCTGTGAGAGGCAGAGCTCTGGGAAGGATGTCTTCTCCAGCACCCTGCTCCCGCTGCCTGGACCATCATGGGGTGCCCCATGGTGCCCCATACCACCGGCTGGCGCCCCCGTTGCTTGCACCGATGGGTGGCTTCGGTGACTTTTCCAGGGAGTTGCTGCAAGGGCTGGCAGACAACAGTCACATCAGTGACCTGCACCTGGATCTTAGCAACTGCGAGGTGAGGGGCCAGCGCCCACGGGTGCCGTCATTCCAGCCCGGGGGTCCTATTGCGGCAGTCAAGGGGGCTTGCTCCCTGTGCGGGAGGGTCCGTGCCCTGTCTGCTGCGGGGCTGGGGTGACCTTCCCGACGGCAGGATCTCGTTTGCAGGGCTCGGCGCCTCCCCTTGTACTGATGTCTTGCTGTTTCTTCCAAGCTGAGATCAGCGGGGGCCCAGGTCATCCAGGATCTCATCCCTCACGCCAGCTCCATCAGCGACCTGGACTTGTCTGACAACGGTAGGTTGCTTTTTCCCCCGCCTGGGAGATGATCTCCTCCATCTTGCGGGTCCAGCCGCCACGGGCTGTTTGGCAGAGGCCAGCTCAGCCCCAGCACCTCGTGAGCTTGTAGGAGTCCCCAGGGAGATGGGTAGGGTCTGCTGCGCTTGCCTGCCTCTTAACCACGCTGGCTAATGCTACGTTAAACTGCACTTGCCACCTGTAAAAGCCCTTCAGCAGCAGAAGCTGCAGCACTACCGGCTGTGTCTCACGGGGATGAAGGCACCCAACGGCAAGCGGTGGATTCCTGCCTGAGAAATTACCACCTCATCAGGTTTTTACGGCTTTCTACCCCCAAAACCACTCGCCCCTCCGCCTTCCCAAAGCAAGTCCTTACACGTGCTCTTCTTCATCCGCTGATGTCCTTCCCAGCGTGCCAGGCCTCTTTCCATCACCTTCCAGTGCCGCATCCCGCGGTGGGTAGCGGTGGTGGCCCTTGCCTCTCCCCTCGTTCAGGGAGACCATCTCCAGCACGGGGCGGCGTGGGGTGGCTTCTTCATCCCCTCCTGCCTCAGGACTTGCCAAAAATTCGTGTTGCACATGTTTCTTGGTACGAGCCTCTTCGGCTCACTGAACCCAAGGTGGTCTCACGTTGCTTGCTGGGGATTTGAAGCATTGAAAAGGTCTCCCTGGGCTGAAACTCTTCCCATCTCTCTGCAGGAGTTTGCAGCCTCTGCTGCTAACCTTGTCCTGCTGCGGCCTCCAAAGCCATGGGCGAGCAGTCCTAATTATCACAAACATCACCTCTGCCAGCTCTTAATTTCACCTAAAAGGCCCCAAACCTTAAAGCAGTCTTGCTAAGGTCTCACAGCAGACCGTGCAGCTCCTCGACAGCCAGACGGCTCTGGGAAAGCTGACGTGGTCTGGAGTCCTTCAAAAACCTGTTCAGGCCACCAATGCTCCGAAAGCTCACTCTCTTACCCAAAATCTCCGGCCAACATTTACCGAAATATGCTTCTATCTTTGGCTTTCCCAGTAGAGCGGCTCCGTGCAGGAGGGACAGTCCCGTAGGTGGGTCTTGGTGCCTCTTGCCCTTGGCTGGCAGAGCGGCTGCACGAGCAGATCCCTGCCCTGTGGGAAGGACATCACCTTTGCTTGCCGAGTTTCCCTGGGGGTGCTGCAGCCGTGAGGCTGGGAGTGCAGGCAGCTGCCTGCAAACTGCGGGAGCCCCTCCCGTGTTGTCCAGGGTGGTGGGTGGGTGACGGGGGGCACATACCTGCGGGGTGGCAGAAAGCAAGCGCCGTCTCTAGCTCCGTAAGCGCTCAGCGCAGCCTTGGCACCCCAAATAGCAGGAGTCCCCAGAGCAGGTGCTCCTTCTCTGGGGTCACCTCTCAGGGACCCCGGCTCTGCACGGGTCTTCCGTCTCCTTGGGGGAGCCATGAAGAGGAGGAAGGCGCTCAGGAGTTGCCCTGGGCATCTCTCCACCATCCCACGGCGGCAGCTTGGTGGCTCTGCAGGTCTCCTGTGAGGGACCACCTTGGTGCCACCTCTGTGGACTGCTTGGAGCATCCCAGTGAGTGTCTCCCATCTCTCGCAGGCTTCGACCCCGACATGGTGACGCTGGTGCTCTCCATCGGCAGAAGCAAGTCCATTAGGCACGTCTCTCTGGGGAAAAACTTCAACATCAAATCCAAGTAAGCGCAAAGCCGCAGCACCCAGGCCAGGAGCCGTCCTGGCACCGTGCACCCACCCTGACACACTCTCCCCATCCAAAGCCCACGGGCTGGTCGGGAATGCCAGGGATTGCCTGCCCGTCCTGCCTGCTCCAACCCAATGGGGAGACTGGGGCCGTGGGGGGACCGTCACCTGCTCCTGGTGCTGTCCCTGTGGGACCGCAGGCGCTGCAGGGACA